AAGAGGCCCACTGCCAGTGGGAGAGGCACCATCTTCAATTGGAATTGGAGAGAAGCCATGCCTCTATAGAGGGCAGCCAAAAATAAAGAACACAAATTCAGAGGCCTACCACGCGTCAATTCGTGCGCTATGGATAAATAGCTCATAGAAGGCTTCATACTTGGCACACACAGAACATATTTACAAAGCCAAATCTGAAGAAAGGCCACACGCTCAGCATGGGAAGGCTCAGCGCTCAAGTGATTATAACAGCTTTGCAGGCTTGAATAGGATTCGGTGAGTTTTCTGTCAAATTTTGGGGCGACACCAGAAATCAAAATACCAGGGAAAATGGTATCGCCCAAAGGTGGCAGATTTACTAAGGCCCCAACATCCCTTAAAGTAATGAACATGGGACAAAGAGGGAAAAACAAAAGTATTATACTTAGAGGACCAAAAATTTAAAGCAATAGGGAAAAGCGCTGGATCAAAAATAGGGGGTTGAAGAGAGATTTCTAACAAATCAGAAATTCTAGCACTATCAAAAATTGCCTTGGTAGGACCATGGCCCACAAGGCAAGCATGCCATCTACGGAAAACAACATCAGATTTAGGCCAAGTGCGAATACCTCTTTCGCGAAACGGCCTCAACAGCAAAGAGTTTAGAAACGGAGGGCCTTGAGTACAAGGGAACAGCTGGCCCACCCCCACTTATGCGACGGCCTCGGCGTTGTTGAATAAAGGACCTAGATAGAACTCATTGAGTTCGGCATTGGCTGGTGCAAGGAAGTTCGGAGTTATATATGACCGAGTGAGGATTTTCTGGAAGTCTTCGAAACTGAATGAGTCACTAGATTGGGATTGTGAAGCAGCCATTAGGAACGAAGTAAAGTTTTGTTGAAATTTGCTTGAGAAAAGTAGCAAAGAAGCAAGAAGATGAACAGTAATATTGCTAGAGAGAAGCGCAGAACAATGAGGCGTAATTTAGTAGTGCGATGAAATGGCGCGTATTTGGGGGTTATAAGGGTTTGCAACGTCGCGCCTTTTCAGGCTATGGAAGAAGATAATGATTGAAATTCTTGGGAATTTCAAATGTTGCTGGGAAACACAAAGTGAATATGGCACAAATTAATAATTGGTATTAATTCTGCCATATTGGGGGGTAATTGTTGACACACTAAAAGTGCAGCCCAAATCGAATAGCCCAAAGAATGAAGCCCAACTGGGCAATTCAGGATAAAGGCCCAAATAGGGTTATTAATGAATGCAATGGAAGCCCATGAATGCGGTAACACCATCGCCCAAACTTGCAAGATGCCCAAGATCTGAGCGAATGAAGTGCCTTGTAGTCGCCCAGAGTTATGACCCTGTTCTCGCCCAAACCTTTAAATCGCCCAGGATCTTAGCAAACATAAGATGTTATGATTATCCAAAAGTGCAGTTATCGAAGCAATTATTGAGTAATCTTATCACGTTCCACGATTCAAGGAGTTCAATTGAAGACGGTTGAGCGACAAAGAGTAGTGGCGGCAGTTAGAGACGACAGTTCCATGATAAGTTGGCCACCATGAAGAAAGTGGGCAGTTATAAAGTAATTAAGCAGTTTCTAATCGGTTGATCACAAAAAGATCATCAAGGGAATATAAAAGGAATAAAAGACATAAAGCAAAGGACCCCGAATCAAACACTCTTTAACAGAGAATATGTAATTTTAATTTCTTAATTTAGACTTAAATATTTCTTTCAGTACTCGTGTGCTTGCGCCCCTTTGACGCATTCTGTTTAAATTCCAATTGTAAAGTCATCGCCAATAAAACACCCCTTTTTGGGACTTTTTCTCAAGATGTTTGTTCCTTATATAATCGTCTGATCCTTTTTTAATTGTTAGCGACAACCCACGCGAAACAGTAATATAAACGAGGAAAAACACTAACTTCCGGCCGAGAGTTACTCAATTCTTAATTAGTTAACTTAAAAAGATTGCTCAGAAAAGGAAAAGCAACACTGTAAAATGAGACATGCACTTACCTTTTGATGGAGATTTGCCAATTCTGTATTAGTTACGAACTTTAAGAACTAAAAAATCAAAAAAAGTGGGGAAATTTGGATAATTATTGAATCAGAACGTTAAGAAGAAGACTATAGTAGAGAAGTGGGGGTCGGAGCATGAAGGAAGTCTGTTTATGGCTGGGCTATGGAACCTCGAGCTCGTACCATTGCTATCGAATGGATTCATATCTTGGATAATTAGGTTTAATTTAGTCCTCCAACTATTACTTCACATACAATGAATCCTTCACGTATTAGAAAGTCTAATTTGGTCCACCAACTACTAATTAACTTCACTTTCATCCTTCAATTATTAGTAAATAAAATTTGTTCCTCCGACTATTACCAAGGTTCATTATGATCCTCCAACTATGTTTAATATTAATTTCATCCTTCATCTAATAGTAAGTCCAATTTGGTCATCCACCTATTCAATAGAACCAATTTCATCCTTGCGGTATAAGGAACGACCAATTTGATCCTCCAACTAACGTTTCACATAAATTTCATCCTTCAACCATTCGAAAAGTCTAATTTGCTCATCCAATTACTATTTAAAATCAACTTCATCCTTCACATATTAGGCATGTCCAATTTCGTCCTCTAGCTATTATATAACTTAAATTGCATCCTTCACGTATTAGGCAGTCCAATTAGGTCCTCCAACTAATATTTAACTTAAATTGCATCCTCCAAGTCCAATTGGTCCTCCAGCTATTCTATGAAGCAAATTGCATCCTTCAATTACTTGGGAAGTCCTATTTGGTCCTCCAACTATTCTATAAGGTAATTGCATCCTCTAATTACTGGTCAAGTCAAATTTGGTCCTCCAACTATTGTATCAGGTAAATTTCATCCTCCAATTATTCGAGAAGTCCAATATGGTCCTCCAACTATTGTTATAGGTAAATTTCATCCTCCAATTATTCGGGAAGTCCAATATGGTCCTCCAACTGTTCTAAAAAGTAAATTTCATCCTCAAGTTATTTGGGAAGTACGTTTTGGTCCTCCAACTATTGTATAACGTAAATTGCATCCTTCGCGTTTGGGACAAGTCCAATCTGGTCCTCCAACTATTTTATCAAATAAATTGCATCCATCACGTATTGGGGAAGTCCATTTGGTCCTCCAACTATTCTATGAAGCAAATTGCATCCTTCACTTACTGAGGAAGTCCAATATGGTCCTCCAACTATTATATCACGTAAATTCCATCCCTCAACTACTGTGTAAGTCAAATTTGGTCCTCCAACTATCGTGTAACTAAATTGCATCCTTTGGTTACTGGGGAAGTCCAATTTGGTCCTCCAACTATCCTCTCACGTAAATTGCATCCTTCACTTAGTTTGGAAGTAAATTTTGGTCCACCAACTATTCTATGAAGCAAATTGCACCTTCAATTACTGGGGAAGTCCAATTTGGTTCTCTAACTATTCTATAACTTAAATTTCATCCTTCAGTTATGGGGAAGTCCAATTTGGTCCTCCAAATATTATATAACGTAAATTGCATCCTTCAATTACTCGATAAGTCCAATTTGGCCCTCCAACTATTTTATTATGTAAATTACATCCTTCAATTACTGGGGCACTCAAATTTGGTCATCCAAATATGGGATCAAGTAAATTGCATCCTTCACCTATTCGGGGAGTCCAATTTGGTCCGCCATTTATTGTATGAAGCAATTTGCATCCTTCAATTACTGGGGAAGTCCAATTTGGTCCTCCAACTATTCTATCATGTGAATTGCGTCCTTCACGTATTCGGGAAGTCCAATTTGGTCCTCCAACTATTCTATACGTAAATTTCATCCTTCAATTAGTGGGAAGTCCACTTACTTGATTGCCTTGATAAGAATCCAAATTCTTGCGCTTCGTGGATATAAGGGCATTCATAATCTTGTTCTGTCACACATACACGTGACTTGGAACATGCTTCTTAAGTTGCAAGAATCAGTGATGCAAGTTGTTGGCAATCAAGTTCTAAAAGAAAAAAAATTTGCTTTGAGTACAATGTTAGTACCAGTGGTGGTTTTGATCTTCATAGGCTGCTGATGCTTCCCTGTAATTCTTAAAGAATGAAATTATACAACTAAGACGTTTTCAAGGTAAAGTTGGGAAATAGATTAAATAAAAGTATCTGAAAGCTGGATTTTCGCGTAAATTGGATGTCCCTATCTTCCTCTTCCCTAAGGAGGAACTACTATAAAGCCTTTCTTTTAAAAGAGAGAGAGAGGTGAGATGAATTTGACTGAAACGAGAATAGTTCCTTTAGGTGTTCTCCTTTATAGTGAGTCTAGTCCTTCGCTTGATAGAAGCACTGGGGGATTTCAATGCCTTAGTTCTTCCCTGCTTTGGTAGAGCCAATTAGCGTAGGAGAACTCTTCGTTGTCAGTAAGGGAGAGGTGCTTATGAGCTCCAACTATTCATTCATTTAGGGCGAGCCAATTCAGTTATCACTTCCTCCACTATATGAATGAATGATAAAAACACAACAACTAAGAGCGGGCCTCGCCTGTCATCTACCAGAAAAAAACTAAGAAGGCAAGAGAAAGCAACCGTCCCTTGACCTAACAAAAACACTAATAAACCTAATCTAATCTCGATTATAATAGAAAAACTTAGGACGCATTTTGGCACTAGTTAAGGTATGGTCTTAGGAGAATCGGCAATCTAAATCAGTCCTCAGTCTTTTAGAAAATAATAGTTTGGTCCTCCAACTTTTACAAATTATTAATTTGGTCATCTGGCTGATCAGAAATTCAAAATTAGTCCTCCAACTTTGAGAAATGCTACATAATGCAACCAGTACTCAATTCATTCACACAAGCATGTATCTCTATATTTATTTATTTTCCTTTTTTCTACACCATAATGTAAATGAGATTAGTTCGTGACATCCAATATATTTTAAGCATTCGGCTTGGGCAATAACACAATTATGCAAATTGCAATTAGCAAAAACACAATATCTATAGCGTAAAACCTGGTAAATATTTTCTATGTTAGGCATCTCTATAGTATTACTGTTTCTACTATCCAAATGTGAGATTGAAAATTATTTTCTATTTTAGGCATCTCTATAGTATTACTGTTTCTACTATCACTTCACATCAGATCTTTGAAAATAAACAAGCTTTAAGATCTGATACAACGCAGAATACAACTACTTTTACATCAAAATTTGTTGCCTTCCCGTTATCAATGAAAAGATAATGAATATATTTGGATTGAATACTTGCATTTTCACTTCCATGCTCAATCGAAGGCCATGTCCACTCACCTTCTTGGATGCAGCACTCACAAATCAACCTCGATTGGTTGCCCAAGAATCCAATGTCTAATCAAAATGGTGCTTCGAGAAAGATAATTCTGTCCAAATGAATTAACAAAATCGAAGACAGCATCATGTGGATTCCTCTATGTCCCTGATACATATTCCTTTTCCAGTACACTGAACATGACTGTTAGGCGGTCCTGAAGATTAGACAGAATATTCTTAGTGATCCTCTTTTTCTGTTTGGAATCTTTCGACCATGTTATTCCGAAGTATACTTCAACATTGCATCCTACAGATCTTGAAGGTAGATCCTCCACCTGGTATCTCAGGTGAAGCTGCAAATAAGCATGGCAACACAGTGAGGAAAAGAAATGTATATATTCCACACAAAAGAAGGAATACCAGAATTCTCCTATGTATGGTATGCATTGGACAGGACCGAAGATTATAACGGGCAAGATTTTTTAAACTTTTTTTTTTCTTTAATACTGCCCAATCCACACTACCAATGATACCAAACATGTCATAAAAATATCAAAAGATTATTAAGCAAGCTAAAAGTGGCTGTGGCTGTATCCTTACTGTAAAAAAGTCACCAAGTGGAACCCCATGCAGAGTCATGACTTCTTCTATAAGCCAACCATTTTTACCAGAAAGACGAGACTTTTGCTGAGTGCTAGTCACCTCTCCTCTATAACGGGATATTCGTTTATCAAATTTGTAATAAAGTTGCCTCTGATACACATCCTGTTTTTCAGATTCCCAAGGACTGTGAGAATAATTGAGACATCCGGCTCTCTCCATGACCCTTCTGTCAATTTCACTCCCTCTAAATAACTCCATAAAGAAACTAGTCTGGAAATGAGAAGTAAAAATATTTGCTAGTTGGTTAAAAAGTTTATATTAAACAATGTGCAGTCACATGTAAAATGGAAATACAAAACTCATCTCAAGTCCAACCTCTCAAAACACTTACAAACACAGAAGAAGAAAGCATACCAAGAGGGAGAAAATTTGAGGATGAAGAAAGGAGCATAAATCCACATCCACTCTCACAAGACAGAAGAATGCGGTGGACAGANAACTCAGAGTCCAATTAGGGTTGGGGGGTGTGGATGGGAGAGAGGTAGTAAACAAAAACTTATCTAATATAATTAAAAAAAAATCACCAAATAAACTGCATGGAGATTGGTGGTCGACCAAAGAAAAAGCAATATAGAAAGAAGTCTGCTCTTGATCGTGCATACAGGATTTTAAGACCATTGAAAGCTCTCCTATTTCGATCTTCCAGCAGACTAACATCAAACAGCTTTTCTTTCTACCTGGAGCTTTCAAACTTCCAGGACTCAGTAAGCTTTTAAAGTAAAGGACATGACTCCAATGCACTCCGTGTACGAACACTCTCAAGAAGTAATCTAGATGGTGATAAAGCATCCACACACACAATGTTAAAACAATCAAATTGCAAAATTAACACCCTGAAAACTGATAATTCTTTCTTTATCTATTTCAAGAAATTTACTAAATTTTCAAGGGTTATTTCAATCCTGAATTTGCTATTATGAGCACGTGTCCACACGAATTAAATAACTGTTTTCAGCATCTTATAGACACCCTTAGAATCATGAAGGGTAACCCAATTGTGTCCTTGTGACTTCAATAGAGGTTACCCGATTGGATCCAAAATATCAAAGCTGGTAAATTTGCACATCTTTTTGTACATAAAAGGTAAGAAATCAAGGTGAAAATCAATCCAGAGAAAACAGGATGGATAAAGGGAGGGTCCTAATTTTTTTGATAAAAGGTAAATCTGTAATGTTATCCATGGAGACAATTACCTACTTATATAAAGAACCAATTAGTACAACATTACTGGACTTTGAGATCATGCTGGACAGGTTCAAACGTTAGAAATGCCTGTAGTTTTGAACAAATGGTTTGAAGACTCAACTAGAATATTTCTAGGATAAGATGCAGGACTAGACATGATGACAAGAAGAGGAACAATATCGTAATGTGACCATTGAATTATACAGACAGGACTGCAAATGAAATAATCGTTAAAAAACCTGTTAACACTCAGAAATGTAATTAATCTGAAATTACCTCTGTGCCATGTTGAAAGACACAAAAGAGTGAAAATGAAACTTCAGCCGGCCTTCCGCATCCTGTGTTCTTGCTCCATGCCGTGCATCAAAACCTCTACCAGGCCAAAGAGTCATAATGATGATTGGACTGCCCATTGATGACAAGGTAGGAGGAATGACTTGGATGTCTTCTATGTCTTCCCAAAGGAAGAAAAACTTCGTCTTATGACCAAATAGATCTGCATGAAACCCAATTATTCTTGCTGACAGAAAGAGACGGCCCTGCCACCACAAGTAGTAAATGGTTACTTGGACATAACTTTAAAATCTAAACAAAAACTAGACCTTAAAAAGCATCATCAGCTCCCTGACTTAGCGAGTGTTGATCTAATTTTTGACAGCAAAAATAGTCCATACAACTTCAATTGGTAGCACTAACACTGTGTCAAATGAAAGAGAACTCCAAGATGCACATCACTATAAAATAAACCATATTAATTACCTGGAGAGGCATTCTGCGTTTCAGGTGACAAGCAAAGTCATTGATAAGAAATTCCTCAGGTGGAAGTGCAAAGAGCTTTTGGAATGCAAAATTCGTTTGAGGAGAGCGCAATTTTATCTGAAAAAAAGTCATTAACCATATTGGTGGTCATAAAAAAGTGAAACCTGAAATTACACTGTCAAAAAGTAAATATGTTGGCAGAACAAGAGGCCATTTACCTTTTTCCCCACCTCCTTCTCCATCTTAGTTAAATAATCTATGACAACATTGCTACCCCTGCTATTGTTCAAAAAAACTCTTAAATGTAACTTTGACTGGCATGCCTGAGCCAACTTTCCTTGTATAGGAATCCAAACATCGGACAATTCCGATATGTTAGTTTTCAAGAAATTAATTTCAGCGCGTCCAAGAGATGTAGCATCATCAAAAGGTCCGTCAAAATCAAAAACTTCCACATCCAATACAGATGGAGGCTCATCCATTGCATCAAATTCAAAAATTTCTGGAAGAGACAATATTCCCACTAAGTAATTTAGCCAATGATAAAGCACGCATATTCTATTATACACAATACCAGTAAATTTATGTGAGAAAATACCATTCCAAAGAGGATCAGATTTCTGGAATTTAATAGAGCTGGTTCTTGTTTTCCCATTGCAAGTAAACACCACATAAGGATCAGAGAACCCATGTGAGTCAACGGCTGCCAAATTGCTTCCTTCAATTAAGGCAACAGTGAGTAACCAACCTTCCCCTTGAGCTTTAATTCCATGATCACTGCCTGTAATCAACATAACAAAATTTGAATAAAATTAACTCACAGGCGCTATCCGAGAACAATTAGTCGATCTAGATTTACACATTATTCTAGATAATTTGTTAGAATGGAAAGAAATTGGGAAAATATAATTCTTTTTGTATACAAAAATGGGCAACTTCTTTGCTGTGTATTTGCCTGAAGCAACGGAATCTAAATATAAACTGCAAGCCCTCACAGACTCAGCAATCTCAAAATATTAATACCTCTTCGTATTCTGGCCTGCATGAAGCGTGATATCAACTCTAGAACCCGTTTACCTTGAAGAACCAGTACTCCACACACGATCAATTCACCAATGGAATCAGGCAAGTCTAATCCAACAAACTCAAGACCCTGTATTGTGCTAGGCATGGCCAGCCATATATGCACAAGCACATACAAACCCATGAAAATAGACGAAATTACTGTAAAATTAGTGAAATACTGAACAACCAATTTCCAATCTGACTGATGCTCGACCTGAAGAGATGCCAAAACTTGATCCTTCTCTGAACCCATTTCTTTAACGTCAGCTAGCTTTACATTCTGAGATAACAACTTTTGATACTGCTCAAAGCTTTCCTTTATACCTTGTCGTGCTCCTCCTTCAATCATACCTTTCATCATAGTGCTTTGCAAAAAGTTCATTCGCCAAGAAACTACTAATCGAGAAGACTGTTCTCCCGATGGAAGCTCCGGTCCTTGAGTAATGCAATAAAGCACTTCTGCTTTAAAAGTTTTCCCATATGGAGCATCTGGAGTGCTCACACTTGCTAACACTGCAAAAGCCTTCCCATCAGCAATCATATATGTTTGCTCCTCGGTAGCTTTCAAAGCTTTTATCAGTTTACTTGGAGCCTTGATATAAGTAATTACTCTCTTTAGGCTATCACTACCATTTTCAAAGTCCCAAGGTCCTAAATTCAATTCTGTAGATCCCTGCACATCGGCTACAGACCTCATAAAGCTTGAGTCTGGCGAAAAGAGTAAAGAGTTCAATTCGCCTGGTGCAATTGAATACAATTGGTCTAAAACTACACCTCCTGGCAAATTACTCGGAACTTCATGTCCTAGTTCTTTCGTCTCCATGCTTTTCATTATTTCTTCAAAATCAATAGTTGAGAACTGCTCTTCAGACTTGTTCTCTGAAACTGCCGGATTTTCACTTTCTGAAAACTCTGATATGTCAGGTACTTCAACAGAGCTTGCGGGTGTTGTATCTACGTTCTTGTTGAAAATTTGGGCAATTCGATCAGCAAATGTTGGTGCAGAAGGCTTTTCCTCCTTAGAAGAGACACCTTCTTCCACTCTCATTGGAGAAAATGATCTCAAAGGGGATGACTTTAAAGTTGAATCCATCCCCATATCAGCAACCTTCCTTGGCAAGGGTGCAGGATCACAAAGAGATGGCAAGTCCAACACAGAACTATTTTGCGAGAACCAAATAGTGACAAGAATCTCACCTATTAATATAAAAGAAACACTTGTTGATCAGCACTTGTAAACTAATTCCTGATTCACTTGAAATTATAGTAAACTACAATTCATTTGCATGACCAATGAAAAATTTGATTGCATCAAACTCTCCCGTTTATTCATGTTGGATAAATTGTGCATCATTCAAGAAAAAATATCACGAGATAACTGGCTAAAATATTCAATATTATATGCTGATTAAACAATCGGATTGAAGAAATGTACTCAACTAAACAGAGCATTATCCCACTCCGCACATATCATAGAAGAATTTTAATTGGCTGTAAACAGTATTAACTGGAAGTAATCTTAAATTATTTAACTCATCAAATTCTAATGAGATAATCACCAAGAATAAGTAATGCTTATGAAGAAAGAATATAAGCTAAAGTACACAACATACCACAATCCTTGTTCTTAGCCTTCTTCCTAGGCTGCAATGTGTACCAAGAAGTGGCAAGAGACTTATCCATAGCTTCGAAAACATGAGAGACGGGCACTTTAACCTGGCCAATGAAATCACCATTAAAGTACTTGTCTTCATCAAGAACGGCAATGATAAGCTTTGCTTTCAAATCATCGACTTTAAAAGTAAATTCTTCGCACCATGATGGGTTCAGGCACTTCTTTACGACTTTGGTTCTGAATCTCTGTCTACCCAGTTGTAATTTCACATATGGATCACTGAATCCATTAGGGTTCATTGCTGGTATATTTCTTGCTTCGATTACGCGTACTAAGAGCTTCATATTTCACGAATAGGGCACAAGATTAACCTTTCTTTAGTTCAGCAAAGGATAAGCAATTAAACTATCATCACCAAGAATGAAATTTCATTAAATGTGAGAACAGAGAATATGGTCCATTGCATTGCAAGAAATATTGAAGGATATTGATAATACAGAGAATAATCGAAAAACGACTCCGAAACTTTGGATGATAATCAGAATGTTATAATTCTGGAGTATCAAAATATCCTGATCCCCAAGGTAAAAGCGTAAAAGATAAATTGTGAAATGGAATGGAAGAAACGGAAATATGGCGGAATTAAATTCAAGAAAAACTAGAAATACCGGAAAAAACGTCTGAATGTTAATTATTGGTAAGACGTTATTGATTGAGAAAGAAAAAGAAAATCAAGATGAAATATATGTTCAAACCCCAAGAATATCGAATTCAAATTTATGGTTCGTCAAAATCAATCTGTTTCTTTCATGTGTATGGGGGAGAGAGAAAAGAAGGGGGAATTTACTTGAAAAAAGAGAGGCAGGCAGATAGACAGTTCAATGGCCCATTTTCTCTTATATTCAAATGCAACTGCGCGTACGTTTTTGGACTCGCTGACAACAGACAAAAACAGTTCCAAACAACGACCTTTTCCAATTCGCAAATCAATTTATTAGACAAATTGACTTATATAAGAACTTAAAATATCACGTTAAGTCCTTGTTTGGCCCCCATTTTTTAGAAAAGAAAATGAGTGGAATAATATTTTTTTAAAAATAATTGATTAAAAAATAAGAAATTTTTTTCGATTTACGTGTAATATTATTTTGTGAAAGATTGTATGGTTGAAAATAGGAGAGAAACTAATGAAATGTAATGTAATGAAATTTAATGGGGGCTAAATTAGCTCATTTAACCCGATAAAATAATTCTAAAAAATTAAACATAAAATAATTTCTTAATGCTAAAAGTAAATTTTGACTTTTTTAAAATGATGTCAAACAATCCCTAATATATGTTTGATTTTCAAGAAACAATTTTGCCTTCTCTATATTACTGTAGCTATAGAGACAATAATTTTCTCTGATATCCCCAATTGGTAGATAAAAATCCACATCCCTTGGAATTATCATACACTTAAAAGCTAACTAATCGATTAAAATAAATTGGGTTGGATTTAAAAATTGTTGGAAATCAAATTACTCTATTTTAAATATTGCAGGCAGATAGCTTTTGCTTATGTTTGTTGTAGAACAACTCATTGAAAAGTTTATTTTAAATCAACTTCCTCTTAAACTTACAGCCTGTTTGGAAGTGATTTTTTCCCCCCAAAAAAATTGATTTTTTGATAGTTATTTCATTATTTCAACTGTTATATTTGATTTTTTCTCTCACAGGTGAACCCTACTTTTCTCCTAACGACCAAAAAATTAATTCTCAAAATCACTCACAAATAGGCTCTTAAAATGTCTTCTAATTGGACAAGGTATTTTTAACAAATTATTCAAATAAATTTAAACACAACTTTTTAGTCTTATCAATTTTTGACTTTTCAAAATTTTTGTCAAAATAGATTCATTATTTTATTTTGCATGCAGAACATATTAAAAATTCATGAAATTTTTTGTTTATCTTCGTTAATTATGAAAAGTAGTAGATCTTTGTGAAGGTTCTAAATAAAAGTCAAATATTGTGAATGTTGAGATTTAAACTTTAATTCTTTAAAGGATTACTCTAATTATATGCTTTTGGTATATATAAACATTTACATCTGTCACACATGTAGGAGACTCACGCGTAATAAATTATATGTATAAGCCCCTCTATGTGAGGGAGTGTAAAGAATTATATATACAAAAAATGTACAAATAACATGGTCTTTTTAAATATATTTAATGGTATCTGCCTTGTAATAGCAATCCAGATTGTCTCGATCTAAAGACGTGGGATTTACTGTTTAATTGGGGTTGAATAACAAAATCATCAAATCGTAAAATTGAACCGAAATTGTTTTTCTGAAACCTTTGGTTTGATTCCATATGGATCCATCAATGTTTGAGTTTTAAACTGGCCCAAACCGTTACGTTTCAATCTTTGTAAGCTATTTCAAACCGCCAAATCGTTTACAAACAAAAAAAACTGAAAATAAATTAATCTAAATTTTATTTAATCCAATTAAAACTTAATAGATTTCAATTGAAAAGATACATCCATATTAGATATAATTCAATACGACAATTATACATCTTAATTAATTAATTAAATCATATCTAAATACCCACCAATCATCACAACCGTGAATGTAAAATCCTAAAATTGGGTAAAGTATTGAACAACTACTACTAAACCATATTGATCGATCCTCCATTATAATTGACCATACAATTAAATCTAGATTTTAATTCAAATTCACACATTTCATTTCTTTATACTAATAACTTTTTCAATTTTTACCTAAATTCAAGTTAGATTATCCAAATTCTTTTATTTTTTGGTAAATTTTCTATGTTTTTATTGATAGTTATGTTGTTTTGTTTTAATAATTGTCTGGCTCCCTTAAAATAATTCACTATTATTTGGATGGAGTTGAAGTATTAGATTATTCACAAAAAGTCACAGTAGATAGGTATTATTGTATTTGAATTTTTTTATTGGTTATTTTATATCATTTAACTATAATTAGTAAATTCATATATTATATTTTTATGTTTATGAAGAGCATGAATCGTGTATTACAATTGCAAATGGACGTCATTAGTATCGACTAAGAGTTTAAAATATTTATATCATGTTGCATTATAATGATTATAATTATATAACTTTGATTTATAATGTTTTTTAATAATATAATTTATATTTTAAAGTGAAACTTTAGACGTGTGTGTGTGTATTATTTTTTTATTAAATCGTAGTTTTAAACCGAATCAAACCGAAAAAATGGTTTAGATTGGTTTGGTTTAGAAATTGAAGTGGTTTAGTTTGTTTTGGAAAATTTCCAAACCGTTTTAAATGGTTTGACTTGAAAATTTATCTCAAACCATTTAAATCAAACCATGTTTATCCCTAATTTAAATGTCACAATTTGATAATCATTTTACAATTTTTTTCTCAACTCATCTTTAACTAAACATTTTCACAACAAAATATTTTGTACATAAATTCAAAAGTCTTTCATATTTTTTAATCACACATTCTCTGAGAAATCACTATTTGAAAACTTATTTTCTTCAATAAATCCTTTTTAATGATTGTTAAACAATGCTTGAATAGGTTGAAAGCACATGACCACCGTTTCGTTTGTATAAAAAAAGTTATTTCAAAGCCCAAAAAGAATGAAAAATGAAAATCGCAATCGAGTCAAAGTTGACTTTTATGATATAAAATTATAAGGATTATGATTTTTGTACATAATTTATGCACATATGTACACTAAGACTTTTTCAAATGATAAAGTCCCTTCACGCAAATGCCCTTTTTCTTTTTAATGGGAGCATCCGGGAAACATTTTTTAAGTGATGTCAACAATTTAATTTTTGTACTTTCCTATAATTACCTACAGTAAATTTCACGTTTTGTCCTCAACATTTGCCCTATGTTGAACTTTTATCCCAATCTTTTTTTCTTGCAAAAATTAGACTAATCACTCTATTCATTTAGTCTTTAAAAAACATCCAATTAATAAAAGACGGGGAAGATGGGGGTAACATTAAGTACACTCATCGTTCTTTTGTATTGGTCTACACGATTTCTTATAAGATGATTTTGTGGCCCGAAGCCACTTTTGAGACCAAAATATGAGTAGCGTATCGCTCAAGTTCCCAATAAGCTATCCAAATTTGATTTTGCAGTGTCACATATTAGATTTGTCTTGACGCGACAATGACATTTATTTTTCTATGGCATGGTGTGAAGGCGGGACTTGCAATTCATGGAACCATCTTCTTTTCATGATTTAAGTATGAAATTGATTTAAGGATAATTGCATATTGATGTTTGTCGGTCTTGGCTTGCCGTAATATGGTGATGGGATGAGGTTGCGGAAGGAGCTCTACTAGAGGGAATAAGAAAGAAAGCCATTATTTTTTATTTTCTATTTAAATTTTTTTTTTCTTGTAGTTAATTGAAATTTAAGATCGAATCTTTCAGTGGGGATGAATTACACAGTTGTAAATATTTCAATAATTGATGGATTATGGATTAAAGAAAGTGTAGACATAGTTTAAAACATTAAGAGCTTGTGTATCTGGTGTTGTATTGTAATATTCATTTCTTGTTACTTTCGTATTTAAATTGGGATTCATTTGGCTCGTATATGACATATTCTTGGACTTATATTCGTTGAATGGATAATTTTTGATAAGTTGTTACTTGTTAGAAATGTTAAAGAAAAAGACAAAAAATGCTGAGTGCAATGAGGGCAAAAGTTGAGAACGCGCAAGTCTATCTAAACTACATTCAAGGGGAAGTTTCACAAATGAGTCCCCAACCTATTGGATTGTAGTGCAAATAAAGCCTAACATTTAGATCGTCTCACAAATATCCTCAACTTTTCAATTAATGGGCGGAATTGATCCTTTTTAATGGTTTCCATCAAAGTAGCTGTTAAAAATGTCAACATTTTGGTGAAAGACTAGTATATCCTTACTTTTAGTTAAATAAATAAATAAGTTGGATATAAAAATTTTTAAAAAAATTGACAAAAACAAAAGAAAAATCATTCTACCCACCAATCTCTCATAATAATAATTCAAATGCAACCTTGAATTGCTTTAAAATTTTGTTATATAAACAAAACGGAGGGTACTATTAAAAATAAATAAATAAATAAATAAATCCTCTAGAGTAAGCTAATTGGAAATCCGTCAATAGAATATGGTATAGAACAAAAAGGATTTTCAATCTTTCTGACATTGACGTATAATGAGAAAAAATAAAATTAAAAAAGAAAACAATCATCATCTTCACCACCACAACTCACATCCGACCATCCCACCCCAACCCAAACCATCACATGCACAACTTCCACCAAGATCACCACTAACCTTCACCATCTACACCTAAAACCTCATGGATGGAGCACGTTATCTGCACGATAACCATGCACATGCCATTTCGATTCAAGCCCGACAAGGACGAGTTCCAACACCAATAACTTACCACTAAGAGAAAGGCTACAGTGACAAGTGCCCAGGCCCTATCCAGTTAGCATTAATCTACCAATAAACAATTCATTTGTAGTGACAACACGAGTGACATCATTGAAGCCGATGTCACTGCAGAGTGGTAAAGAGAAAGGGAAAGCCCAACAAATCGAACACTAAGATCTTCATAATAGCTATGGCTGCAATACCTGTATAGTTCAAAAGGGTTCTTGCTAAGCTTCAAACGGACGCTAGATATATCATAAAATGAAAATTTCATCAAAGGTGAACATTTGTGTTGACCCAGAGATAACAAATCTCCCATCCCGTCAACAGCACAACCCTAAAGTCAAAACCTTGTCAAGATTAGGGATTCATAACTTTTATTAACTATTCAAGCACACATTCCATCGA